AACCCTTGAAGCCATAGGGAAGCACTGTTATGTCTCACTAATGCATCCCCTTAAGGTTATTGACAAGCTATCTCAAGTGGATGAAGCTCTGTCAATAGCCAATATAATGACAAATCTCAAGCAACTCGAGACTCCCTAGATGTTGGTTGGTATAAAAAGAAAATTGAGGTCGTTAAAAACTGCAGACATCTTGAGCTACTAGATGTAAGAGGTTGTTGGAATGTGAACCTAATGAAAATTTCATGAAGAAATTCCATCTTATAGGTGGTTGATGCAATTCTCATAGATTGCTATAATAGGAATAGCTCAGACAATTGTTCTAACTATTCAAGTTTTTTGTCTATGTACAATGGGAGGTGAGGCGGATGACGACGAATTTGATCAGATGTCCGATGTGTATTGGGGGGATGATCAAGATATGGAGGATGTAAAAATGTGGTGTAATGATGACTTAAATGATGTGGACTCTGGATATGATTGGCTGCCATCTCCTTGAGGTTTGCTTATAAAATTCTACTTATTCAATTTCCACAAGTTTTGAAATACTTCTCTTCTCTATGTGTCTTGTGTACCTTTTTCCTCTTTCTTTGTTCTCTTTTATTACTTTCTTAACTGTATGTATTCATATAACAATATTTTCATGCTATCTACATGTTTGCTACATTTGAGTCGAGGGTCTTTCAAAAATAGTCTTTCTTCCTCCACGAGGTAATTGTAAGGCCTACATACACTCTACCATCCCCATACCTCATCAATTGTGGGATTCCAATGAGTATGCTGTTGTTTCTTAGCTTGTGGTTCTTTGAGGAGTTCATGCTTTCATTTGAATTTGTCATCTGGTTGTTTGTTTCTCCTTTTTAACTCTACTGCTGGTTTTTTAAACTAAAGTTATTCTACTCCATCTTGTGGTTTCCAGATTTTCTATTTTTGTTTTTGTTTGAGCTTCTTCTTAATCTGCTTCGTCAGCTTTCTAAATTCATGTATGAGCTAGTAAAAGAAACAAAGTCTAGCAGAAGAAAGTTATGACGCCATATCTTTTCAAAGGAACATCACCAGTAGCTTGAGTTATGGAAAAGTGTCCCATGACAGTTTTGTTGAGTTCATGTGGTAGTTCTAGTTTAATTAATGCTTTGTTTTCCTATGATTTTTCATTCTTTTAACTTTTTTTTTTGTGCAGGGAGAGGGAACAATTTTTGAATTGATTATTAAAAATGTGATTTGTAAAACTAGACTTTATGCTTGATTATTATCTATGTGGTTTGCACAACATTAGCCTGATCTAAAACTCTAGTTAATGAGAGGCATATAAACTGTGTTGTAATTCTTTTAGTTACACCTTTTATATCTATGGCTTGTCTATTAACATTTATTCTTATGTCTTGGGCATTTTCTTACATCTAGATTTAGATTCATTTATTTGAAATATATGCAATTTTGTTTGGCAGAAAGACGTGTTTAGTTATATAAATAATGTGGATCTCTTAAAATTCGGAAACATACCCACCTTATTTCCATGATTATTTATGCTTTGAATTGAACCAAGTTATATTTTTTTTTTTCTGCAGTTTCTCAACACCTGATTGTTCAAAAGATTCTAAAAGAACCTGTCATTGAAGAGAGTATATAGAGCTGATATTAGCGACTAAATATTTATGAACAAGAGAGATACATTCATATTCTTTCAGTTATTTAAAGATGTCCTCTTCTATACATGTCATGGATCCTTCTTTTTCTACAATTTTAATGTTGTAGAAGTGAGATTGTATCTTTGATAATAATGCTTTGTTGAGTATCCGGACAAACATGGGTATCAGCCTAGTTCCACGCGTATTTTGGAGGTGGAGTTCGGTTTGGATTTCTTCCTAGTGATGAGAAGAGTTTGTGCTGGTTTTGCACATTCACACCATCTGTTGTTCATTGTAAGCCAGCTCCTACATACTGTTTCTTTTGAAGATTTACTTTTTGAAGGATATTTTTGTTGGCTAGAGAGCTTACCTCTATGCAGGGGGAGCCTTGACGTAATTGGTAAAGTTACTGTCATGTGACCTAGAGGTCGCGGATTCAAGCTGTGGAAACAGCCTCTTGCAAAAATGCAGGGTAAGACTGCGTACAATAGACCCCTATGGTCCAAGCCTTCCCCGAACCCTATGCATAGCAGGAGCTTAGTGCACTGAGCTTCCCTGATAGCATACATCTCATAAACTAGTCATGTTTAGTCGTTCATTTTAATTGGGAAATTATGCAGTTGATGGAAATGCAGAACAAGATCCAATGAAGTTGAAGCAATTAGTGTTGAACAAGGCTAGTAATGTGTCTAAAGAACTCTCCACCGTTATAGACAGAACTACGCTCAACTGTATATCTATCGCTCAGCTGAAATTGAGGTTGCCATGGAATGTTCTGCTTGGGAGTATTTTGAAAAACAACTTTTGCGTGGTAGGTGATGCACTTCATCCCATGACTCCTGATCTTGGTCAAGGTGGATGTTCTGCTTTAGAGGACAGTGTTGTTATCGCAAAGTGCCTCAGAGAAGCCTTGATAAAACCGATAACAGAACAAGAAGATGATGAATCTACGAAGATTAGAAAAGGACTCGAGATGTATGCTAAAGAGAGGAGATGGAGAAGTTTTACATTTATCAGTGCTGCTTATTTATCTGGTTTCATACAAGAGAGTGATAACAAGATAATCAGTTTCTTAAGACAACATTTTTTGGCTGGAGTCACTATATTAGTTACACTAAGAATTGCTAACTTCGACTGCGGAAGATTAACTGTTTCTTAGTAGCTCAATTGGATCCTTTGGAAGCTATGAATATCCTTTATGGACTTCGTTTAATATCTATCTAGCATAATGTTCTGGTTTAGTTGTGTTTAAGAATTGTAAGACTGAATCGGATCCTTATTTTGCAATAATAAAATACAAATGGTCCTTTGAGAGAGAGATAAAAGACACTTTTTTTTATTGTTCCTTGAATGTGTTAACTAGGTTGTTTCTTATCAACCAAGGTATAATATCCTCTGAACAAAACAACCTAGTGTCCTTCCACTAATTGTGAGCTCTGTCCTCATTTCCTGTGTTCACCAATTACCATGATAGTTTGACAGCTTTACAGTTGTTCCCCATTTGATCAGAGAACATACACAACACATAGGACATGGTCCCATTGTTTGTTACGATCATCAAAACAATAGAGTTACAATATATATCATGTATAATAAGTAATGTTGGAATAATCTCATGGATATTATGCTTTGATTTTTTTGTGGTCTATGTAAGAACCTTGTTTTTTTTTTCTTTTACTTCGTCTGAATTTTCTCTTTGTTATTTTTAGCATTTGCTTCGACTACTGGTTTAGTTATTTTCCATCTCTTCATGTTTGAACTGTATCATATGTGTCCTTTTTTTCCCTTGTAGTCTTTGTGGAAATTGGCTTAAAGACTTAGAAGTTGTTTAAACATCTATTTCTACTACAACTACATGGAGTTTCTCTCATTAACTTAATGTGAAAAGTCTTGTGAAAAATTATAGAATGTGACTCACAAGTGGGAAAAATTCCACACGGTATCATTAATGTTACAAACATACTCTAAGTAAACACACGAGTTAAATCATGTCTTCAATTATTGTTCTTTTTATTTTTCTCACTTGACTTGGTCAAGCAATAATATCTCTCATTGGAAATTTGTTACAAGTTCTGCACCAAATTTTTCTACAGTGTGTGTTGCGTAATGGGACCAATTCACATTGTTTTGTGTAACACACACTGCAAAGATGGTGGATGACCTTGAAATGAAAACAACATTCAGAGAAAACAAATATGGAATAATTGGTACTAGCTACCAAGATTTAAAGACTTGATTGAGTCTTTCTGGAAATTGACTTAACACTTGGGACAATTTTTTTGCAACCACAAATTAGTTTGTGGTAGATCGGGGGCCAGTACCCCATTTTATTTGTCTGGATGTTTTACTTCACAGTCTGATAGACAAGTCAATGACAACTATAGCATATTCAGTATAATCTCATAAGTGGGATTGAGAGGTTGCTTCTGATAGGCTCTCGACTCAAAATAAAGCATGGCCAACCATTTTGAAAAAGGGATTACGAAAATTAGAGTAATAACAACAATAAAATAATATGAAAAGAAGAGTAGTATAACATACAGATGAATGAACAATATGAAAACAAAATAAAGCGGTATTTGAAGCACAAGATACACGTGTGATACCCGGAAAAATAAAACTACGAATACAATACACGATAGACAAGTCAATCTCCACAAAATTCTAATGGGAAAGTGATAGAAATTTTGAGTTCGAATCATGAAGTTAGTATCCTAGACATGTATAATACACAATTGCAAATAGTATGGACAAGAGGGGGTTCCTTAGGTGGTAGCACCTTCCACCTCTTAGCTTAATGTTAATTATATATACTACTTTATTCATGTTTTAGTTTGACTCGGTGAAGAAGATTCTTGAATTTTGATTGATTATGGGAGAAGGCGTAGGAAAAAAACTCTAAAAATTATGTACTGATATTGGTATATCATTTTCCATCTATATTGTTATGATTAAAGTCCTAACAAGAATGTGTATGTTGTATTTTTTTTCCTCTCTATTTTTTTTATTGTTTGTTTTTCTTTCTATTAGACTACTTTAATTCGATTTTATATGAATTTCTTAATGTCGTAAATAAGTATTTTTAATTGAAATTTTGCTAACTAGTAACTAAAATTTTAAATTTACGTTACTAGCATGGAAGGAATTAATTTTTTAACAATAAAATACAACCCACATTTAATGTTTCTTGTCACAGTACTTTTAATTATTATTTTTTATAGTTATTGCATTTTATTACTCATTAGAGTCATATTTTCACAAAAATTACACAAAAGTGTAACTCATAAACTAGTATATATATGTGGATAATGATGATTGATTTGTAAGAACAGAACATTCTGTTATTTGTTGAATACAATTTTTTTTTTTAAAAAGATGGGAATTCCGTTTTTCTTTTATTCACTTGTCTGTTTTTTGTTGGTAATTAGTGAAAGCTTTTCTTCTTCTGTTGTGATGATGCATCATCTTTGCTCTCCCACTGAAGCTTTTGCTTTGCTTCACTTCAAACAATCCTTTCAAATCTCTGACCAACCAAGCTGTAGTTATGATACTGATATGCAAGATGAGAGATATGTTGATATCCCCAAAACGAAGTCTTGGAATGAGAGTAGGGATTGCTGCAGTTGGGATGGGGTCACTTGTGACTTGTTAACTGGTCATGTTATCGGATTGGACCTTAGTTGCAGTTTGCTTTTGGGTACTATTCATCCCAATAGCAGCCTCTTCCAGCTCCATCATCTCCGGACACTAAACCTTGCTTACAATGACTTCTATTCTTCTTCAATCCCACATAACATTGGCCGATTGACGAATTTGAGGCATCTCAACCTTTCTTATTCTTTCTCTGGAGGGGAAATTCCAACAGAAATATCATACCTTTCCAATTTGGTTTCACTTGAACTTAATTGTTATGGATGTGAACTTGATGAGAGAACATTTGAAACAATTCTTCAAAACTTCACAAATCTGGAGGTAGTTTCTCTCCAAGGTGTCAACATCTCATCTTCAATACCTGTGAATATTTCTTCATCCTCCTTAAGGTACGTGGATCTTGGACATACTAATCTGCGAGGTGTTATCACAGAGAGCTTTTTCCTTCTACCAGGATTGGAAAGGCTCTATTTGAGTGACAATGATCTTCTCAAAGGAGTTTTACCAAAGATCCACCCGAGCAACACTCTGTTGGAGTTGGATATTTCTTCCACAGGAATCTCCGGTGAGCTGCCTGACTCAATTGGCACCTTGAGTTCATTGAATTTCTTAAACCTCCAAGGATGTCAATTCTCTGGTTCCATTCCTGATTCCATTGGCAATCTTACACAAATTAGGTATTTGGATTTCAGTAATAATCATTTCACCGGCCATATTCCTTCCACAATCTCTAAACTGAAGCAACTCACACTTCTAGGTCTTTCGTCCAACTCCTTTTCAGGTGAAATTCCCGATATTTATTCTAACCAACAGAAATATCATACCTTTCCAATTTGGTTTCACTTGAACTTAATTGTTATGGATGTGAACTTGATGAGAGAACATTTGAAACAATTCTTCAAAACTTCACAAATCTGGAGGTAGTTTCTCTCCAAGGTGTCAACATCTCATCTTCAATACCTGTGAATATTTCTTCATCCTCCTTAAGGTACGTGGATCTTGGACATACTAATCTGCGAGGTGTTATCACAGAGAGCTTTTTCCTTCTACCAGGATTGGAAAGGCTCTATTTGAGTGACAATGATCTTCTCAAAGGAGTTTTACCAAAGATCCACCCGAGCAACACTCTGTTGGAGTTGCATATTTCATTCACAGGAATCTCCGGTGAGCTGCCTGACTCAATTGGCACCTTGAGTTCATTGAATTTCTTAAACCTCCAAGGATGTCAATTCTCTGGTTCCATTCCTGATTCCATTGGCAATCTTACACAAATTAGGTATTTGGATTTCAGTAATAATCATTTCACCGGCCATATTCCTTCCACAATATCTAAATTGAAGCACCTCAGCTATCTAAAGCTTTCGTCCAACTCCTTTTCAGGTGAAATTCCCGATATTTATTCTAACCTCCAAGAGCTAAGTTATTTATATCTTTCTGACAACAACTTCATCGGTCCGTTTCCTTCTACAATTGTAAGCTTGACACATCTTCAAGAGTTAGAATTGTCAAGTAATTCCCTATCTGGCCCACTGCCCAATAATTTTAGCATGCTTCAAAAGCTAACCCGACTGGATTTGTCGTACAACTCACTGAATGGCACCATACCATCTTGGGTGTTTAGCCTACCTTTGCTACCTTCATTGTACCTCCAACATAATCAATTTAGTGGACTAGCCAATGAGCTCCAAACAAACCCAGCATTAGAAATCCTGGATTTAAGCCATAATCAACTCAGTGGTTCTTTTCCTCAATCACTTTCGAATCTCACAAACCTTTTTATCCTTGACCTTTCATCGAATAACATCACCGTCGATGCGGGAATACAAATCACTTTTCCTAGCCTAATAGATTTGCTGTTATCATCTTGTGAACTGGAGGATTTTCCACACTTCTTGACAAATGTAAAGAAACTTAAGTTTTTGGGTATTTCTAACAATAAGATTCGTGGCCAAATCCCAAACTGGTTTAGCGGCATGAGGTGGGACAACTTGTTGTACCTAAACCTTTCGCATAATTCTTTAACAGGCCACCTACAACTATTTCATTTCCATAATCTAGAGTATCTTGATCTTAAATTTAACTTCCTTCAGGGTCCACTACCTTCATCCATTTGTAACATGAACAATCTTAAATTGCTAGATTTATCACGCAACAACCTCAGTAACTCGATTCCAAGTTGCTTGGGAAGCATGTCTAGTCTAACAGTGTTGGACTTAAGAAGGAACAATTTCACAGGGAGTCTTCCCCCATTATGTGTGCAGAACACTTCATTGAGAACCATTGTCTTGAATGGCAATCAATTTGAAGGAACTCTCCCTGTGTCGTTGCTCAACTGTAGTGGTTTAGAAGTTCTTGATATGGGGAATAACGCTATAAATGACACATTTCCTGCTTGGATAGGAACACTTGAACAACTGCAGGTCTTAATATTAAAGTCCAATGTGTTCCATGGACCAATTACTACTTGTCAGACTACACTTTGCTTTCCCAAGTTGCGAATTTTTGATCTTTCGCGTAACGAATTCAGTGGCTCAATCCCTGCAAAGGTTTTTGGAAACTTCAAGGCAATGATTAAATTAGATGGTGAAGACACAGGACAGATCGAGTACATGGAACCATCTATGTTTCACACATTATATGATGATTCCGTGAGTTTGGTGATCAAAGGCCAGGATATTGAGCTAGAAAGAATCAGCAAAATTATGACAACCATAGACCTCTCGAGCAACCATTTTGAAGGTGTCATTCCGAAAACACTAAAGGATCTCAGATCACTTTGGCTACTCAATTTATCCCATAACAATCTCATAGGTCATATTCCAATGGAATTGGGGCAATTGAATAAGCTTGAAGCGTTAGATCTCTCTTGGAACCGGCTCACTGGAAAGATTCCGCAGGAATTGACAAGGCTAACATTTCTGGAAATGTTAAACCTTTCTCAGAATGTTCTCGTTGGACCAATTCCTCACGTTCTACAATTCAACACATTTGAAAATGACTCGTATGGCGGTAACCTTGATCTATGTGGTCCTCCTTTATCAGAGCAATGTGGAACGAGTGATCTATCCCATGTTCCTCAACCATTGGAGTCTGAAGACGAGTCATATTTTTTTAGTGGATTTTACGTGGGAATCAGTAGTCATTGGCTACAGCTGTGGACTAGTTGTTGGAACTGTTGTATGGAGCCTCATGTTTAAATATCGTAAACCAAAATGGTTTGTCGAATTTTTTGAAGGCATTTATCCCAAGAAAATGAGAAGGTCAATGAAGAGAGCTCAGAGACGACGGACTTAGTGGAAGATTGCAAGAGTGGACTTTTCTGTTTTTTAATTTTCTTTTGTAGTTTGTATATGTTTAATAGCAATATAATTGCATGTGTTATTTTGTGAATTTCCACTGGATTAAAAATTAGTGTTCTCCAATCAATAATTCCTTTAGCATATATAAAAAAATTTAAATTCAAAATAAGAACAAGAGGACATAAAACATAACTTTCCTTTTTACTAAAACAATTTATTCAATTACTCTTGAGTTTAATCAACTTCAACATGTTTGATAATATCATCTGATCATATAATTAATATTAAAAATGATGGATTTAAGATCACTCAAATCCTCTTATAAATTGATTATTGTATAATGGTGATCCTCAAGCCTTCCCTTAATTGAGAGAATGAGCCAAAGCTGTCATGACATGAGCTTGATCTGAAATAATTTGTGTAGTTGAAGGATTTTGTCCCAAAACAATACAATAACCATCATCATAATTCTCCATTCCATGTGCCATTAGTTGCCATACTAAACTTCCTCCCATTGTTCCACCTTCTTTTGCCAAATTATACACATTTCTATATACACTACTCATAAGTATATCTCTTGATCCTTGACCTCTACTCAAGGGGCGCAACTGACTCCTAAAGCCAAAACTCAGGCCCGAGCCGACCCTGCTGAACCATTTGCTACTAGCGCATGGCAGTCACATGTAATTAAGAAAACAAACAAGTATATCTCGGCTTAAAACTAAGCCCTCGGCCGGCAAGGCCCCTGTCAACAGATCTACAAAAGAACCAGCTACTCCCAAGAGTTCATATAAAGAAATATCCAACTAGCACAAAAAGTCTGATTGGGCCGTCGAGGCCACCATGATATCTATACCAAACTAAAACAGGTAAATATCAGTACAATACATCAAACAGCTCACAAGCTTCAGCAAACCAACAACATAGGCCAGCATGGCCATAACGTAGCTATAAACCCCACACACTAGTCTGCAAGCCTCTAAGAGTATTAACGATTGGCGGGACAGGGCTCCAGCCTACCCATAAAAATATGTACAACAAAATCTAACAAACCTCCAAACATTGGCAGCTCCGGAGGAAAGGGGCTAGCCAACGGAAAAAAAGTCAATCCTGCTGCTGAGGAGGTCTACTCAGTCACATGCATGCATGAATGCAGCGCCCCCAGGCAATGGGGCGTCAGTACAAAATAATGTACATAGTATGAAAGGCAATAGGCTATGATCAAGTATCTTAATATACTGGAATAATCCGATAAATAAATCAAAGATAAGATAAGTGTACTGACCTGCTCATAAATCTAAATTTATCAAGAATAATAAAGCAACAACCTAACAGAGCCCCCATAAGCTCGACAGGTACAAACAACACACAAGACCACCTACTCAGGCCCCCATAAGCCCGGAAGGTGTCAATCAGTCTATATACCTCTATCGATAGTCCCTTAGCCCTGTAGGCAATCACATAGCCCTCTTAGGCATTAATATAGCCCCATAGCAGCACATAGTTCTCTTTAGGTATCAACATAGCTTATAGACAACTCATAGCCCTCTTAGGCAACAACATAGCCATGTAGGCAACTCATAGCCCTGCTAGGCATCAATATAGCTCCGTAGGCAACATATAGCCCTTTTAGTTATCCATATGGCCCCGTAGGCAGAACATAGCCCTTCTAGGCATAAATCACATTCCTGCAGCTAACCACAATAGGCTCAAGGGCAACAACAACACTCAAATCGTTAAAAGCGAGCAATCTAGTTATAAGCAACCTGTACAAATAGCCTCTAAGTCGTGTCCAACATAGGGACACTACTAAATAAATAAGAATCCCAACAAGAGAGAATTAGATCAACTCGAGCAGCCAATAATCAACAATAACACTACAAGTATATTAAGTATATTAAGGAACATGTCATAAGTAGGGAATAACCTTAACATACCTTTTTTTCGCTAAATTCACGTGGTAA